TTTAGGGTAATAGAATATATAAAGGCCTTTACGGCCTGTGAACCCTTTCATGCTGTAAAAAAGCGGCACGGCACTCGAAGCTAACTCTTCTTCGTGCTAGAGACAGGATTCACCTCGTTCAGCCAGACTGTCGCTGCCCTGACCTCGGTGGCCGTCGCCAGAGGCTCGGCGGGCTCGCTTCGGCCCGCTGGCTGGCCGCCAGCTAAACAGGGCCTCGCTCGAGTTTTAGGGGTTTAGGGGTTTAGGGGTTTAGGGTTGAGGGTTTAGGGTTTTGCAGAAGGTGAAAATATCGACGCATCTAAACATCTACACCCCAAGCCCTACACCCTAAACTTGCACCAAGCTTTGAAATGCTGTGATTTTCCATTAGGAACCTCACTTCAGCTCGAATTCCCGGCTTTAAGATCCAGTTCAGGGTTTCGGAAATTCGGGAAACCATTCTTGTTGCCTTATAATGGGGATTTTGTTGGCCCATATCAAATATCAGGGGCCATTGTTCTCTGAAAAGGACTGCCGCACCGAATTCGCATCAGAATCATTCACATCCTTCAAGTCCACGCGCCTAAAACCCTAAACCCCTCAAGCTCTAAATCCTAAGCTCCTACTAGCGCTAAAGCGGTGAACCCCGCTCCCTGAGCCCTGAATCCCAAAACCCTACATAGGCCCTGAATCCTAAACGCCCTAAGCCCTAGGCCCCGAATCCTAAAACCCTACGCCCTACATACTAAAACCCCTAAACTCTACCCTACCTAAACCCTAAACCCTCAACCCCAAACCCCAAACCCTAAACCCTAAACTCTAAACCCTAAACCCTACACCCGAAAGCTCTGCTGGAAGGATGTCATTTGCAGAGCAGATGGACTTGGCTTTGCGCTTGAGCCGCGCCGCCGATGCAGAGGAGCCGCTGTTTCGTGCCACAACTCAGGCTTATAGCTTTTAGGGTTTGGTGCACCGTCGGGTTCAGGGTATGGTAAAGCTCAGGTTTAGGTCCCTCCGGGAAACCCGCTTCCCAGACATTCCGGCCCTGAACCCTGAAAGCCCTAAACCCTAAAAGCCCTAAACTTTAAATCCGGTCTAGAACCGTTGTCTTTATCTAGACACACCTTTATAGTAGCCTTGTCAAGGAACCGAATGCTTATATAGCCATCCCTTACACAGCAGCCCTTGTCAGCCGAAGCCCAGCACAGCCGCAAGGAGGAGGTGGCGAGGGCAAAGCCCGCACCAGCACCGGCCGAGGAGGCGGCAGAGGCCCGAACAACACAAAAATCATCAGAAGTAGTTGAATAAGAATAAACATAATAACAATATCAACAACAATAGCAGCCATAACAATTATGTCAATAACCAGAATAACAACAAGTGGCAACATCATCGTAGGTAGCAGTACTCGGAAGAATCGCATCAGTAAGGATAGTAAGAATAAGAGAACTATATGTAATTGTAACGGTTTTACTACTGCAACGACGACGACTACTAAAGCTAATAGTAATAATGTGATTTCTTTACGAGTAACATTGACAATGGTATTATTGTTGCTATTGTCATCGTTATTTTTACTGTTATTGCTATTGTTACTAATATTTTATTATTATTAGTAGCAGCAATGACAATGAAAACCATGACAATAACTACCTTAATAATGGTAGGAGTAACGGCTATATTCGTAACAGCAACAAGCAAAGAACAAGTGGTACGCATTGATAGTACCAAAAGAAAATGCTAGAAGTACTGTGCCAAAACTAGAAAAGCGAGTAAGACTAGCAATAACGGCTATCATTTAGAGTAGTAGTGACTGTAACCATAGTAAAATGAGTGATAACAGTAATGATGCTAGTAACCGCACTGCCAGTATCAAAAGTCATAGCTGTGTAGTAACAGCAGCATTGGGGAAATCAATAGAACTAGCCGCTTGCCATAACAAGACCACTGATCATCATCACAATACTAAACCCTAAACCCCAAACCCTAAACCCTGAACCCTAGTGCTGCAAACCCCGAGATACACTAGAAAATCATCAAACCCCACGAGCCCAGACCCACAGTCCCGAAGAGACACCTGCAATGAAGCCCAACCCTTAATCCCCACAGCAACCCTAAACCCTAAACCCTAAACTCTAAGCCCTAGACCGTAAACCTTGAACCCTAAACCCTAAACCCTGAACCCTAATTTCTAAACCCAAAACCCCCCGGAGGCCGAAGATCCATCAAATCCCATCCCTTCAGTCACTTTAGTGCCAGGGCTTAGGTTTCAAGGTTTAAGGTTTAAGGTTTAGGGTTTAGGGTTCAGGGTCACTTTTGTGCCAAGCGACGCATTCGCTTAAAGGGGCTCTTTTCAGGGGCTTCTTTAGGGTTTGATGTTTAGGGCGTTTGTGGGATTTATTGTGTATATGTACATATACCTATATAGATAGGTAGATAGATAGATAGATAGATAGATAGACAGATATATTTTTTATAAGGTGTTATGGGGTATTCCACTGTAAGGCTCCGCAGGCACGTGTTCGGAAGTGGTTTGGCCTTCGCCAAAGTGCGGTCTAACCCAGCAGGAGAAGGACTCCGAAAGCGTCCTCCTCGAACTTGCACCTCGGTTGTCGCATCTGGCTTCAGGCTTTTAGGGTTTCGGGTTAATTTTGGAGGATTTAGGGTGCAGGGGCTAGCGGGTGTACAGGAAGCAGTCAGTGGTTTGTTTGGCATTGGTTCTTGGGGCATGCATGGTGAAGGGATAGGTTGTACTTGATTCCCATGTGCAGCTAGCACTTTGCCTTTGCGAGGCAGCAATGGATTTAAGGGCCCTTCTTCTGCCGAAGCGAGCAAAAGATGCTGTCACAAGCATTGTAGCACTGCCAGGCTGATATACATGCAGCTACGTACTGCAATTTCTTCATTTCTGAAGCGGATTCTGCGCGAAAATGGCACAGCTGGAACTCAACAAATCCGAATTCCTGAAAGCCTGAAGCCCTCGAAAGCCTTAAGCCCTAGTGCTCGAAGAAGCTTGGGGTTTCAACCCTGCTTGAGCAACCGTTTTGCTGCGCATTCCGTATCGTCACCTTCTGAGTGCTTCAGCATAGTATACACTGGTCACCCTAACAGCAAGGACATTGAATGCACGCAACTATGGTGAGACTAGCACCTGGTAGATGAGTAATTGCAGTATTACGCCGCCACCACCGTGACGACGACTACTGCTGCTACTGTTTTTCTTCTTCTATGACGTTGAATGAAAGAATAAAGTGATAGATGTGGGAGTAGCAAACGTGCCCAACATTCCCAGAAAGATGTATGCGTAAGAGCCCCATGTAAAGCGGTAGTCATGCTAAGAGCAGTTTCGGTCATAACCCAGGCCGTAATCCCGAATCGAAAAACTGTGGCTCCAAACGCAAGGCCCAACCTGCGTCGGCAGGAACTTCCGCAGCAGATCCACTGCAGGCCTCACTGGGTTTGCAGCGGCACTTGAAGTAGGGTGTAGAAATGCTCTCTTGCGAGTGTGAAGAAGCTCAGCTAGATTAGTGAACTTGTACCCTAAACCCTAAACCCTAAACCCTAAATGGTTGAATGAGGGGTCTAAAAGGATTCTGTGAAGGGCTCAGGGTTGACGATTCCGGATCTAGGTGCGGTTTCATAGGGCCGGGTTCAGGACCCTAAACCCTACACCCTAGATCTTAAATCATGAACCCTAAACCCCAAAGCCCCATACCCTAAACCCTAAACCCTAAACCCTAAAGCCTATACCCTAAACCCTAAATCATGAGCCCAAAACCCTAAAGCCGAAACCCTAAACCCTAGCCGGGAACGAGGGGGTCTGGACTCAGGATTTCGGATTGAGACTGTCGGGTCTAGGGTTCAGGGTTCATGGTTTCGGGTTTAGGG